GATTTTCCTCTTAGAGATGCCAATGAAAACCTGTCATTAAAGAGAATTACAGGAGTACTCTAAGCAATGTGCTAATTTACTAGTTGGAAGCTGGAAATTAATTCCAACCAGATGGAGGTACCCTGTCCTAGCTACCAGACATCAAAATGCACATTTTTTCCTTAGAAAGAGGCTCTGCTTTAAGATATCAAAGGGAATGTGGGACCTCTGTTTTGGCCTTCACCCCAAATTCTGCCATGGTTTAACGATCTTAAATATATCTAAATGATGAAACAACAAACAAAAAGCCATCCTGGCTATTTTCTCACTCTTTACGTATCTGTGAAATGATGCTCAAGCAAGAAACATGCTTGCATTTTCAAGATTACAACAGGTCATGCCACAAGGGATGAATCCTTTTCTAAGCACTGACATTCTTACTTGCTCATGGGTTTTAAAGGAAAAAATATCTTGTATCTTGAATTGACAGTGGATACCAATGTCCATCAGTCTCCTCACAGCTGAGCCCACACAACAGTTCAGCTAAGTGGGCCTTGCTGCCTAGACACTGCTTGGCCTGGTCCATTCTCAAGCTCATAGATTTCATCTCATGGGCAAAAGTTAATTAATGAGTATATAGTCATTATATACCATGTCCTGTTCTAAGCACATTAATATTCATTGAAACCTACATAGAACTTATCAGATACTGTGTCAAGCACTTAATAAATAAATGTACCTTATCATGGTGAGTTGATAGGGTTTGTAAACAACTACATTTTGCATTGGATGAAACTGAAGGTCAGAGAAGCTGGGCGCACTTCCTGATGCTATAGTTTGGATACAAAATGTCTCTCCAAAGGCTCATGTGCTCAGAAGTGGGGCTTTCAGGAAGTGATTGGATCATAAGGCTCCACCTTCATCACTGGATTCATCCAGTACTGGGTGTCGTATTAGGAGGTGGGATCTAGTTGCAGGGAGGGATCATGAGGGAGTGACTTTGCACACTGAATCTCCCTGGCGCCTTCCTTTCTGACTTCATTCCTTTCTTTTCTTTCTGGATGCCATGAGATAGTAAGCAGTGTACCCTCCCCACTCCCTTCCTCCATGATGGCTCGGTTTCACACAAGCCTAAAAGCAAGGTGTCCTGGTTACTTTTCTCCGACTGATGGGACAAAATATCTGGAACTCAAAATGAAGAAAGGAAAGGTTTATTTAGCTCACTATATATGGAGATTTCACTCCATATTGAGCTGGCTCCAAGGCAGGGTGGCATGGCATGAGGCAACGCTTCAAAGAAGCATTCAGAAAAATCAGTGAGAATGAAAAGTGAGGAGACTAAGTCTCTTTTTCTTCCTTACATTGCACACAGGCCACCACCACCCCTATTCCAGGACAGGTTTAGCACTTACACTGCCTCCATGGCCCTCTTTCACAGGCTTAAGATATTTACAAAGTAAGGACCCTGTCTCCCGGCTGAGTCTCTTAGTTAAATTTCTGAACTTCTCAAGCTGACATAATGTGTAACAAGGGAACAGCTGACCATGGCCTGAAAGCTCTGCAGTCATGAGCCAAAATAAGTATTTCTTCCTTTAAATTGCTTAGGTTAGACATTTTGTCTCAACAATGGAAAGTTGACTAAGGTACCTCAAGCTCTTCTGCTCGTAAGTGGCAGAGAACAGATTCAGCTTGCAAACATTCTGACCCCAGGCTTTGAGTTCTGGTTAGCATTGCAGATGGTGAGCCCCACCAACTTGAAGACATTTCTGTGCAGTCTTGACTTAAGCTTTATAGCTGAGAAAAGGATTCCTGTTTATCAGGTGCTTAGCAATGCCAGCTGCTGTACTAGAGATGGACATACATTTTAAACTGAGCTGCCGAGAAACCAGGCAAGCAAAGTAAAGATCCTACTCATGAGAATGCCGAGGCGCAGTATTTAAGCAATTTTGCAGGGCAAGGCTTGAGGATGGACTTGAATTTGAACCCAGGTCTTGGGATCCTTGAAGTCCCACAAATTAGCTGAGGCATTCTTTCTGATAGAAACATTCTAATGGAACTCTTGTGGCCCAATAGGTAAGTGTGTGGTATTTATAAGAAAAGGTCTAATGTATGGAGACTCTTTGAGCGTACTTTCTTCCCCCTCTACATGTTAGATTAGACAAGAACAGAATTCAGGCTGGAACAAGGTCCTGAATGCTCATGCAAAGATTTGTCAGGTGCCGATGCCATGCCTAGTGCTGAAATAAAGCTACAGATTTGTTTAACAGACCTCTCCCAGCCCTGTGAAGTTGAGAACCACTGTAATGCATAGCATAAATTATAGCAATTTAGGTTGCAAAATGTATTATTAAGGAAATCAAGAGAGAAGGTCTAACTTAGCCGAGAGAGAGGAGATGAGTGGGGACTTACCCAGGGGTCTCCACATAAAGATGTGATACACACTGAGCTCAGCAGCACTGGCAGAGGAAGCCTGAGGTAGAAGTATACTCTAGGCAACAGTAGTATGTGCAAAGGCCCTGAGGAAAACATGGACTTATTTCAACCTAATTATCTCTGTGAGCTCTGGAGTTTTCTCATCATCTTATATCTGGTTTCACTTACCTCTCTTCAGCTCTCATGATCTTAAGGCACAGGTCTGAGTATGACATTCCTTTCTGTCACTCCTCAGAGCTTTTGGTATAAAATCAAACCTCCTTGCAAGAGCACACAAGCTCCTATGTGATTTGGGCTCTGCTTACTTCCCACTGCACTACTCTGAGTGTCCTTTAACCCATACAATTGCAGCTCTGCCGCTGTTCTATAAGATTCAATGACCTCTTTCTTTGTACTCACTGGCAATTGAGAAGGTTGTGTCAAAAATCTTTATGCCAACCAATGGTGGTGACACACGCCTTTATTCCAGCACTCTGAGAGACTGAGGCAGGAGGGGCACTAGTTTGAGTTCATATTGAGAACTTAGTGACTTATATGGCACTATCTAAAAAGAAAAAAAAAAAGAAAAGGAACTGGGGATTAGGGGTAGAAATCAAAGTGAAAGCTTTAAGTTTCACCAAAAAATAAAACATTTTCTACCTCTGAGAGACCAACAAAATGACACTCTTTTTTGGCAACTGACAAGTGAATTTGTATCTTTCCCTCTTTGGAGTCAAGAAGAGCTCTAGAATCCCACCTCCCCACTGCTCTGTGACAAGCCCATGTGAGCACTATGCCTTTCCTCACTTTCATTATATCCGTGTGCCTTTCTTTCTGCAGACACTTCCTTTGGAAAGAAAGCTGTGTGTGGTTTCTTCTGTGAGGTGATGCAGCCATTATGTGTAATGACTTCTGTTTCTTTGCTGGGTTGGATGAGGGTATATTGTGGAGGAAGAGGGATACCCTCAGCCTGCTCCCTCCTCACATCACTTCCTAGTGAGTAGCTGGCTGCCTCTCAGTTGCTCTGTGGAGGAGACTTTGTTGAGGAAGAAAGCAGTGTTCATTAAATTGAAAGCTGAGTGGGCAGGGAAGAGGCAGTAGACTCCAGAAGAATTTCTGAGCTGCAAATACAGGCCCTCGAGAGACTGGAATTATTTGAAAGTGGAGCATACTGGTTGGAATATTGGTGAGAGCTTGTGTACTCTTTCTGCTCAAGTGACCCTGACAGTCTGCATTGTCCACTGAAAAGACACAGAGGTTCATCTAGGAAAAAGAAAAACAGAAATCTTTACATTTTATTGCAAACCTTCTAATATTATTTTATTTTACCTGGTAGCCTGAACTTCTGGCCTCCTGCTCATTCCCACTGGTTGTAAAATGCTTAGCATGGAAATTTCTGGACCACAAAGTGTTTCTGCCCTGTCTTCCCATTACAGTTCAGTCCTTCTCTTTCACCTGGATTCTTCCCACTGTTCACATCTGAACTCCATCCACTGACTGTGCAGGGGGCATCACACTTTCTCTCTAAAGATTCTGATTGAATGCCTTTATGACATAGGGGGAAGCTTCTATTTTTTTCACTTATGTTTGGTTAAGCATAGGCATTTGTGTAGCATTTTTTTTGGCTGCTGCGTGTAGAATTTCTTCCTTCAGGGTGTGGGACAAGACCCTTCTCAAAATGAATTTTATGACCTAAAACATACATCAGAGAATTTCTTTGTAACCAGCTCTTACACAGAAGGTGGAGAGAGTTAGAATAATAATCTTTAGGTTTTATAGATGACTTTGGGGAAAGAGGTTCTGTTTCTGTGACTGACTTTGAAGAAGAGAATTGAGGAAGACAACTGTCTTTTTATAGGTGGCTTGGGAGAGAATTAAAGGCAAGAGACAGGAGAAGAGGAAGCCAAAGAGAGACGTTGCTTGTGAGGTCCTCAGTCTGAGGAATCATTTTCTGAGCCCATATAAATTTGTCTCTTCTGTGCTTCTACATGCCATAGGTTTAGCTCAGTTCTCAGCAATTTTCTCTCAAATGATGGCCTTTACCTTCTGTTCTAGATCCTTGCTGTGTTCTAATTTTTTTTCTCTGCGCTGTTACAGAAAATTCCCCAAAGCACAAATCTGACTGCTTCTCCAGTTCCTTCCCTGTGCCAGTAGACGGAAATTCTGAGACATTGGCTGAGAAGCTCCACATCTCCCCTTCTAAGCCTGGTGATGCTTCGTGCTCCAGGCTCATATTTCCCATGTGCAAGTCCACCAGAATATCTAGAGCCACCTCCAATTCCACATGGCAAGAAATGATAGTTAATATTTCCTCCCCAACCTGCCCTTCCTCATGGTTTCTGATTCTGGCATGGAGTTCTAGTCAACCAAGTCAGAAATCTAGGAGTCATTCTCTGCACCTCCTATATTAAGTCCTAAAGAGGAAGAAGTCTCAAGCTTGTCACTCCATACTGGGTCTCCTTTGGATTGCTGAGATAGCCAGCATACCTCAGTATCTTATTCACCACAGCTATCACAGACTTGTGAGATCATTATTCATCTGGTAGGGCTACAGTAGTAGACTGCCATAAACTGGGTTGCTCAAATAATACAAATTTATTTCCTAACAGGTCTGGAAGCCAGAAGTCCAAAGTCAAGGTGCCAGAAGGATTGTTTTTTCCTGAGACTTTTCTCCTTTGCTTCTGAATTTTGTCTTCTCCCTGGGTTCTCACATGGTCTTTCTCTGTGCCTGTATCCTAATCTCCATTTCCCATAAGGACATCAGTCAGCTGAATTAGAGCCCCCTCAAATGACCTCATCTTACCATTCTGCCACTTCAAGATTCTATCTCCAATAAAGTCACAGTTTGAGGTAAGTCGAAGGGTAGGACATTGACATACAATTTGAGGGAGAGACACAATTCAGCTCATAATTATGATAAATCTGAAGTCATCTCTGCATTCAGAGATTTGGGATGAACTCACACTACCTTCAGTGAGTGCACTGGTCTCTGTGTGATTTTCTGTTTGAGCACGCTGTGAGTCTTTTCTCTCACCTAGTTGTCTATCTTAAAGCTCTGCTGTCACACAAGGAGCAAGAATCATCCCGCAGAAGGTGCATTTGCTTTCGCTTTTTTTTTTATTTAAGAGGAAAAAGAGAAAAACACAAAAACAAAACAAAGCGGTGTAATACAGAACTACAAAAAAAAAACAGTAAGAAATCACCTGTTAATAGATTACATATTATCATCTTAGAAATAGTTGCTCAAATCACAGTATCAAAGAATACAAAGTGGACATTCAAACAGAGAGACTGCAAGCAGCTGTGTTCAATGATCCAAAACAGCTTTCTGAGGTGTAATAGATACCCAGTAGATGACATTTGCTAATGTGCACAATTTGCAAAGTTGTGACATAGTTGTATTGTGACATTGTGGTGTAGTGACATTGTAGGTTGTAGTGACATTGTCACTAAAATCTAGATAGTGATGCATGTATCACCTCTGAAGTCTTCCTCTCATCCCTTTGTAATCTTTTCATTTATTTTTAGTCACTGTGACAAAAATATCTGAGAAAATCGGCTTAGAAATGGGAGGATTTCTTTTGGCTCACAGTTTCATCTGTGATCAGCTGGATCTGTAACTAGAATTTGGGGTCAGCCTGAGCTGGGTGATGATCCATGTTACATCATGATCTTAGCTCTTAGATATTCCCTTAGATGATTTAATGAAGGGACAGAGTGACAGAAAGTAGTTGATTTGCAACTTCTTTATTGGATAATAAGCACAATAGCTTTATTGACAAGGACAGTACATTTGGAGATGGTCAAGTGTGTGGAGTCTAGGAAAAGCCAGGTTGGTTTCTCTTTTTTGGTCCTAGAATTTGAGGGAGTTGGGGCTGTAATAGGGCTTCTCCCATTCAAGTGTTAAGTCTTCGCCCTCCACTGTGAAGGGGTGAAGCATATGATCTTAGTTGGAATAACTGTGGTGTCCAAATGCCATCGAGGTCAATGAAACCACAGTTCAAATGCAGGTGAATGAGGCTTATTGGGTCAGATAAGGTCAACAAACTTGGGGTTTGGGCTCCTGCTGGGTGTGACTGTGTGGACCTTAGAGTTATAAGACTGGCTATGTAGGAGAATTTGAAAGGGAATGTGATGTGTTCTTCTTAGTAAATTAGGGGAGCAAAAGCTCAGGAAATTAGATCATTGTCTCTTTTTTTTTCAGAATTTTCTCCCTAGGCTCAGCTGTCAGTCTCTCGTTTCTAACTTGTATCTAGCTAAGCATCTGCTCTATCTCATCCACTGTTTTTAGGCCTATCATGAAGCAGAAGCACCATGGTGGGGGGTGTGATAGAGTAAAGCTATTTACCTTGAGACAGTCAAGAAGGGGAGGAATGGAGAGAGGGACGGGGGGAGAGAGAGAGATACAGAAACAGAAAGACAGAGAGAGAAGAGGAGGAGGAAGGAGATAGGAGGGAAGAAGAGAGGAGAGGAACAAGAACAGAAGAGGAGAGAGCTTTGCTAGCAGGCTTCCTTCTTCCATTTTTATTCAATCTGTTCCTTCAGCCTAATAGATGGCACCACCCATATTCAGGGTGCTTTGACCCTTTCAATTTGCTGTCCCATATGTCAATCATATCTGGAAACACCCTCAAAGTTACCCTCACTAAAGTGTGTTTTACTAATTTGATAGACATTTCTTGGTCCAGTCAAGTTGAAAATCAAGATTAACCATCATAGCTGAAAGTGGTGGTCATATCTGTAATCCCAGCACTCAGGAGGCTGAGGCAGGTGGATCACTGTGAATTCGAGGCCAGACTAGGCTACAAAGTGAGTTCAAAGCCAGCCAGAACTGCATAGCAAAACTCTATCTCAAAAAGACAAAACTAAATGTATAAATAAAAGATTAACCGTCACATTTACCAATGTCCTCTTCCTCCCCTCCCATTCTCAGTCAAACATAGGTTGGTGTTTCCTGTCATTATTGGTTTTCCAGAATTTTTTTGTCAGCATACAAAAAACCATGTGACTTTTTATATGGCTCCTTTCTCTTGGTATAATTATTTGTGATACATCCATATGGATACAGATATCACCTGTCCATTCCTTTTCATTGCGACAAGGAATCCTTTGTGTGGGTAACAGAAATGCAATGTGTGAGTCAGTCACCTGCTGATGGACAATTGTGTTGTTTTTAGTTTAGACATTTTTATACAAATTTCATATAAACATAGTTTTTTTATTTCTCATGACTCAATACCTAGGAGCAGAGTGGTTGGGTCATATGATTCATTATTACCTTTGAGTTGATCCTAATAATTAGATATTGCATTATGAAAGCCCCTCTGTAGTTATTAGATATCTACAAGTGTTTATCATTAAACCAAATAAACTAATACTCTGTTTTTTTAAAATATCCTTCCATGAATTGTTCTTTTCTGTGACTCACAGATTGCTACCCTGCTGATTTCTTGCTTTGAGAAACAAAATTGAAGGATAATGCCAGGTATGTGTCCATTTTTCCAGGAAAAACAACTCCTTCATTGTTTCAGGGTAACTTCACATCAATCACATTGATTTACAAAGGTGGAATGAGCTGCCTATTTACCCAACTATGGAACGAAACAGGAAAACATGCATTAATACTGTAAGTATCTCTGTTTCACCGCCTTCTTCAGACAGCAAAACTGATGGATCAGTGACTGCTCTAAAGTCAGATTGCCTGGGTTTGAATCTTGGCTTGTGCTATTCTTTTATTTCAGACTTTTGTGCAATTTATTTAACTTGCCGTGCCTCAGTTTCCTTACTTATAGAAATTATAGGGTATCTGAGAATGAAGGGTGAACAGTGTCTATCATATAGTATGTTCTGTTGAAACAGTATTGTTATTATCTGGCCTCCTTGGAGTTCAGACCTTTTCATCACTATGGCAACCCATGTAACACAAACGATCAGAGAGGAGCTCACCTTTGATGATCTACAAATTTAAAACTCTGCAATTATTTTCAGGACACTGCTTTGAAGATGTCTTGTTAACCTATATTGTTTCATAACAATGGGCCTAAGTTCCCACCTGAAGAATAATGAAAATAGAGCAGATATGTTAAAGCAATTAGTTGAGGCAATAGAGATACCCAAAGGAATGAAAATAAAATCAATTATGCTAATGTATGACCATTGACTGCCATTTTACCAGAGATAAAACGTCAGATATCTGGCAGAATGTTGGTGAGTATAAATGGGAAAGGGGCATAGCAAGAAAAAAAATTAACATTTCCCCCATGCCAATCCTATTTAGCTAATATTGAAAGTTGCTATGATTAATTTTATGCCCAAGCAACCCTGACTCATTAATATTCTTCAGCACATGGCACCTCTGGGAACTTCACCAAGTTCAATGGTACTATATGGCTTTGAAATATCCAGGGCTGAGTGGGCTGTCTTTCAGGAATAATGAGCTTTCTGAGCTCAATCTGCTCTTCTGTGTGTTGTATCCTCCATGGTGAAGCTGTCAGCTGCCTCCTCTCCCACCTGCTTCCCCTTCCATCTCCTCATCTTCTTTTGGTTGTGAGCAAAATACAAGATTATTTACCTCTATGCAGACTTCAGAGGCTTGGGTTTGCTTTGAACAGCGCTGCATTTGGAACCTCTGTTGTATTTTGACATAGAAGTGGCTGGCTCAATCTCTTTTCTTTGCTAAGGCATAAATAGGTAAGGTTGCTGCAAAAATAACCACTGGTATACCAGCATCACTATATATCACTATATATACATCACTATATATATATATATATATATATATATATATATATATATATATATGAAATTGATTTATTTCACTTGAAGTTTTTCCAAGAGAAGGGAAGATTAAAAAACAGTCAAAAAGAAGCATTTCAATGCACCTGTGAGATGAATGACTTGGACTTCTTGCTTGTTCAGGTGTATAGTAAGATTTGGTTGGATGCCACTGGCACCCTTAGTAACCCACTAACACAATAAGGCTTATTCCTCATTCCAGGAATTTGGAGTGGGTAGACTTATAGAAGGAAGTATGTGACATTTAATAAGACTCAGTACCTTCATCTCTGTCCACAGAGACAAAGTGTCTTCCCATGCTCTCTTCCTGGGGTTTTCCCACAGTGCAGGAGCAGAACCCAGACACTAAATGTTAGGGCAGGACTTGCCGCATCCCAAAGTCTCATCCCACTTGTGCAATCAGAATTCCATAAATCTGTGATTGACAAGTGTCATGGTCTAGGATCCAGCAAAGGTCTGATGCGTATTCCTAGTATTATGGGAGTACATGAAGATCATCTTTTGAGGCCTTCTTTAGTTTTGCTTTGCTTTTAGTCTTTGGTTGCTTCAGTCTTAATTAAGCTCACACTTGACTGAAAGCCACAGCTTCCCAAACATGTCTTCCTTCAACCTCCGACCCCCATCTTACTGTCTTTTGTTTTCACCAGCTGTGTGTCGGGCTGACTTGGGCTCCACTCAGCCTCTCTCTGCCTCTAACCCACATAATTACTTCAGTCCACTCTGTGTCTCATTACCACCTCACAGGTGTAGACTGAAGCAAAACTGACCTCTCAGGAGTTCATTAGTCAGACGCCAGAGGTAGAATGTGGATTCCAGTTTTCAAGGCCTCTGTAATAACATTGTAGACTAGAAATTTCTCTATTTGAGTTGTTTTTCATCAGTATGTTAAAAGAAATAAAATAGCACTGATCCATCTTCATGTCTTGGCTATCCCTCTGTAGAATACCTCCCTACAAAACTTTACCTTGGCAGGATGAAAGCTACTTGTATTTAGGGGGGCTTCTTGGTTATTTTTCTCTGGTTGCTGGGACAAAATACCTGACACCAAAAATTAAGGAAGGAAAAGTTTACTTAGCTAACAATTTGTAGAGGTTTCAGTTTATAATCAGCCGGCTCCATGGCAGGTTGGCATTGCACAGGGGCATCACTTCAAGGTGGTGAAGGACCACAAAAGAAGTAACAGCAAAAGTGGGGAGAGCAAGTCTCCTTCCTTCTTCTATACTGTCAACAGGCTACCACCTCCTAGGGTGAGTATAGATGAAGATTTTACAAAGTGAGGATCCTGCCCTCCTGTCAAGTCCCTTAGTTAAACTTCTCAAATTGACACAATATGAACCATTATTATTCACCTCTTGTTAAGTTGGCAACCCCGTGCATTTCCTTAAGCCTGTTTCCAAATACAAAAACATGCATTTTCACACCATTTCACAACTTGAACTTTATAACAGGTTTAACCATCCTTAAGAACCAGTAGTAAGTCTATCAACATTACATTATTTCAGAACTGTAACACTTTTCCTTTGGCTCCCAAGACGCATGCACATCCCTTTATGCAAAAGACATTTAGTCCATCTACAAGAGTTGCCAAAGCCCTAACAGTTTTAGCATTGCTGAAAAGTCCAAGTCCCAAATCTCCTCTGAGATGTGGGGCAAACTCTTAACTGCAAGCCCCTGTTCAAATGAAAAGTTAAACACTTCCAGTGTTCAATGGCACAAGATAAACAGTTTTATGACAAAAGTTACAAATAGTGGAATACAAAGGATTGGAAGTAAGTCCAAAATCTAGCAGGGCAAATATTAAGTTCTAACGTTCCACATGCATCAACTGAGGCAAAATATGGCAAATTGTGAGTTCCACAGGACTGGAGTGGCACCACTCCTATGGCACTTCTTTTGATTATAGCTCTCCTGGCTTCTCTCTTGGGCTGGTTTTGCTCCTTCCTTAGATGATTCACATTCCTGGCTTTTCCAAACTTCTGGAATCTCCACTGTACCTCTGGCTTCACACTCACAGCTGTCCCCATTGCCCTATCAGGGAAACACTGCCTGGCCTCCAGGCCTTCTAAATTTGGGGTGGAAACCTTCTTAATCCCATAACTCTTGCCTTCTGCATGCACCAAAACCAATACCACATGGGTGATGCCAAGATCTGTTGCCAACTGGGAGCAGAAGCCAGGTATCCTCTCCCTTGGCTGTAAGGGATTGAGTGCCCGGATCAGTAGGTTCTCTAAATCCAATTCTGAGGAAGAAATTTTCTATGCTGCCACCATTCTGGTACATGATATTGCTGCTGTCATTCTGGAACATGATGTTCTGTGCCTTTCTCCTCAAAGGAAAACTTTCACTTTTGAAATTTTGAGGCATCAAAGGGTGGAGATTTGTGCTTCTTGTGATGCCCCCAGGCCATCTTTTATATTTTCCTGTTCCTTCCCAGCAATTAAGACTTATCTCAATCTTTGTAGATTCCAGATTTCCAGAACTTCCTTTCTGGCCAAACTCATAACATTTTAAATCATCCTGCTAGGCTTTTTGTGCTCTTATTGCTTTTCTGTCTTCTCCTGTATTGAAGTATTATCACTGTGCCATGCCACCCTGCCTTGCAGACAACTTCTTATGGACTGAAATCACCACAAACTATGAACTAAATAAGCCTTTCATTCTCTTAATTTTGAGTGTCAGGTATTTGTCTCAGCAATGAGGGAAAAGTGACTAAGACAGAGGTCAGATGAAAAATAAGCCTTAAACTTGTTTCCATGTTTGCCTTGAGCCTGCTATTGACAGCTGTACTCCTTACCTAACACAGGTCCCTCCAGCTGAGAGGCCCTGGGAGAAGTTATTTTCAGTTTTCAGTATGAGAAAAAAAATTTTTTTCAGAATAGCTAGAAGTGGAGACAGGTAGGAGAGTATAATGGGAAAGGGAACAGGTTGTGCAGGGCTTACACTCAACTTGATCCTTACAGCTATGCAACTCTGATGTTTTTTTTCTCTTACTGCAAAGTCTGAGAGATAAGACCTCAGGTAAGCAGTCACTGTGAAGACTCAATGTTATATTTTGAATCATTAAGCAGTTTTTGCATTCTTGCTTGTTTTTATGTACAAACATTTAACTCTTGTAGCTCTGTAAGGGTTTGAACATATCCTCTAGAAAAGAAAGGATGATTCAGTTGAAGGTGATTAAGAAGAAATCGGTTAGTTATACTGTTATTATCTCTTAGTTCATTAAAAAGGAAGATTTGTGCTAATAACGATTGGAGAAATTTTTATGTCTGTATCTTGTACTTTGAGCAACTATGTTAAAGAAAACAATATGTAGTGTATTAACTATTGTTATTATCCTTTGATTTTGTTATGAAATTTTGTTTTAACTTTTCCTGCAAAATAAAAAAAAAAAGAAATAAAATAGACTGAGAAAAGGAAGAAGAAGAAGAAGCCGAAGCCGAAGACGAAGAAGAAGGAGGAGGAGAAGAAGAAGAAGAAGAAGAAGAAGAAGAAGAAGAAGAAGAAGAAGAAGAAGAAGAAGAAGAAGAAGAAGAAGAAGAAGGAGAAGAGTGCAGATTTAGAAAGATGAAGAGTATCCACCTCTTTCTACAAAAGAAAGCAAAAGTGAAACACTGAAGACCATAATCCTAGAAATAATCCCAGAAGAATCTGTATCAGTGACTTCTGCTAGTCTGCTTTAGTAGCCTTGTTTTGAACTTCCCTGAAGTTGCTGCCCCCTCAGCATTCAAAGTCCTTCTCCACTGATTGCTAGTGTTCTTTGTTGAAGATGCTATAGAAGCTGTTATTCAAGTTCACATTTTTATAAAGGACTGGAAAACTGACCAGTGGTGA